AAGACACTTCTGTTCGGGTTTTTACTTTTACTGTTTCTAGAAGAAAAACTACTGCACTTTCTCAGCGAACTTTTATTAGTGCTCAAACATAATGACAACTCCTTAGCAACTACCCTCGTCAATCTTTCAAACCTTTCAGACACCCGAATACTCGAAGTTACGTCGAGTACACTACAACTAAACTTCGTAATTTCTTATTTTGTAATTATTCTCAACACCTTCTCCTAATTACAAGATAAGATTACTAAACAATTTTACAATTTTTTTCTTACATTTCACACGTCAAAACATCTCTGAATTTTTCAAATTTGTTTACACAGAGTGGTTTTGTTAAAACATCTGCCACTTGATATTCTGAAGGAATAAAAACCAAGTTGATCAATCTCTGCTTCACCTTTTCATTTATAAAGTGAAATCTCACATCTATATGTTTTGAACTTCTGTTAAACTGATTATTTTTAACTAATCTGATTGCACTCTGATTGTCCACATTCAATGACACATCAACATTTTCACAAATCAGTTCTTTGATCAAACACTTTAAATACAATAGTTATTTAACACATTCTGAAGCTGCTATATATTCAGATTCAGTACTTGACAACGACACTATTGGTTGCTTCCTTGAGCACCATACAAAAGGTCCACCACAGTACATACCCAGTAGTACTCTTCCTTGTTTCCAAATCACCAGCAAAGTCAGAGTCACTGTATGATACTACTTCACTTCCATCAGAATCCTTATAAAATTTTATTCCATAGCTTTCAGTCAATTTCAAGTAGCATAGCACTCTCTTCATATTTTCTACATCACTGTTAGTGGAATTTTCCATTTTTCTGCTCCCGTAGCCAACAGCATATGCAATATCTGGTCTCTGGTCTAGTTTTACTTGCAACATACAGCAAACTTCCAATCAGCTCACGATAAGGAAATCTTCTATTTACAGGTTGATCTCCTCCTTTAATAGTTTCCATAGGTGTTCTTACTGTTTTTAAATCCCCCATATGGAAGGTTTCTAAAATATGTCTGATATATTTAGATTGTTTGAGAACAATTCCATCAGAAACTTTTAGTATTCCCATTCCTAAAAAAGTAGTTGGATAGTTCATAGAAACTATTTCAAACTGTGTTTTCAAGGTTTTTAGTAAATCTTCCATTTCTTCTTCATCTGATCCAATCAATAATCCATCATCAACGTAAATAGCCAGTATTAGTGATCCAGTTTGATTTTGGAAAACACAATTTTCTGTTTTCGCTACTGTCAAACCTTTTGATTTTAGAAAATTTGTGAATTTTATATTTCATTGTAATGGAGCCTGTTTTAAACCATACAAAGCTTTTCTTAAAAGACAAACTTTGTTCTCTTCAGTATATCCTTCTGGAACTTCCATGTAGATCTTTTCGTCTAAGTCTCCATACAGGAATGCTGTTTTTACATCAAATTTCTTAATATGATAGCTAGTTCTTGCAGCTATACCAAACATGATTCTTAAAGAACTAATATTCACTACTGGACTGAATGTTTCTTTATAGTCTATTCCATAAGCTTGTCCACATCCTCGTATCAGTAGTCTTGCTTTGTATTTTCCATCATCCTTTATTGTGAAAACCCATTTGCTGGATAAGATTTTCTCATTTTCCACATCTTTTTTATAAACATATTCCCAGGTATCATTTTTCTGCAATGATTCTTTTTCATCTATGATTGCTTTCTCCCATTTTTCTTTGTCTTCATCACTCATAGCTTCTGTATATGTTAGCATCACATATTCTTCAAATCTTCTTGGTAACCGTATTTCTCTTCTAGGTCTTTGTTCTTCTATGCTTTCTCCTGAGTCTCCAGCATTTTCAATTCGCTCATCTGATTCTTCACTAGTTTCTACTTGCTCTTCTGCATATTCATCTAATGAGCTTCCTAGGACTTTATTTTCTGGATCTTCACTAAAATCTTCTAGTTTCACATGAGAATCACCTTTTTCTGTTATTTTTCTTTCGTTAAACACAACATCTCTTATTAAAATTTTTCTTTGTTCATCATCCCAAAGTCGATATCCATTCAATGCATAACCAATGAAAATGTATTTCTTACTTCTAACATCCAATTTTTTTAGTTTTCCAAGCACTTTTGCACGAGCTTCACTCCCAAAAATAAGTAAATTGGACAGGTTTGGTCTTCTACCCATCCAACTTTCAGCTGGTGTTACTTCCAAAGTTTCACTTGGACTTCTATTTAATATATAAGCAGAAAATCTTACAGCTTCTCCCAAAATTTTTTTATCCAATGATGACTCAAATAGCACTGCTCTTGCCTTTTCCATTATTGTTCTATTGAGTCTCTCCGCTTTACCATTAAGTTGTGGGGTATAAGGTATTGTGCAGTCAATAACTATCCCCCTGTTTTTACACCAAGTTTTAAGTTCATGATTCATGTACTCACCTCCATTATCACAGTATATTTTGGACACTTTAAGATTGTGAGTAGCCTCCACTCCTTTGACATATGATTTTAAAAATTCTTTAACCTCTGATTTTTGTTCTAACACATAAATCATGCAGAAGTAGGTTTAATCATCCAAGAATGTCAAGATATATCTTTTATTATCCCATGTAACTGGATCTACAGGACCACATAAATCTGTATGAATAACTTCAAGGGGACGAATTGCATGTGATCTTACAGTTCTAAATGGTTGTCTGGTTTGTTTTGCCTCTAAACAAACTATACATGTCTTTTCAAGTTTATTACACTCACTTCTAATTTTTACTCCATCGCATAAGTCTAACAACTTTTTCATATTCTTTATGCTTAAATGTCCTAGTATCTTATGCCACAAAACAGCAGAAGAATCAAATGTCTCCGTTAATAGACTGGTTTCATTCTCACTAATGTTGACTACATATAGCCCATCTTCTTGTTTTCTTCCTTCTAATACTTTTGCTGTACTATTCCTGATTACCTTTTCTTTTGTGAATGTTACAATTCCACCTTTTTCTGTTACAGCATTGACAGAAAGCAGATTTTTACTAATTCAGGAACATACGATACATTATTTAGGATACAATTTTCACCTTCAATATTCTCTATTCCTAGGCTTATCATTTTTTCTTGCTTCTTTGCCACATTGATATAATAAAAAATTAAATATGCTTACAATTTATTCAATGTACATCTATCAGAGCCTTGTTGAGATTCATAAGAACAAGCATAAATTCTCAATGCACTCGGATGTTCATGGATATAACACCAGGCATTCCAATCTACTTCAATCCAGTGCTCACAGGCTAAAGATCTCAGATAAAAACTCACTTGATGTTAGGGTATATAACAAGCTAAAAAACACTACTAAGAATCTTACTTCAAAACATTTTGAAAATACACAAGAATTAGTTAAACATCCTTTTTATTCCTTGAATGTGTTTATCGCGACCCCCCTATGTGTGTGATCTGGCCTACTACACCTTTATATTATATTTTATTTTATTTCTACCAATTATAGTTTTATATGTATTGTATACGTCATCAGTAGTTTTCAAGAAGCTATTTTTATGTGTTATGCATACCAACAATTTTTATGAAAAGTGTAAAAACAAATGTTTTGTTAATTGGCACGTAATATATATTCTATTCTATTCTATTTATTACAGTTTCTTCCATATACTCAAAAAGTTCTCTATCTTTCGACATATGTGAAGAGGCACCTGAATCTACAACAAATATATTTTTCCTTACATCCTTCTCATTTTCTTTTCCCGTCAGAAAAGCAACTGTTTCTTGATTCAACCTTTTATTTTCCTTTTTGCGAAAAAAACAATCTTCTGTATCATTTGCTTTCTTACAAATGTTGCATTGTTTTGATCTCCCTTTTGTCAGTTTATTTTTACATGCTTTTGCAAAATGTCCAGCTTCACCACAAGAGAAACATTTGTACTGCTTATTTTTATTTGATTTTACAGGAGCTGTTGTTTTGAATGCTACTGCATCCTCAGTTTCTTGTGTAGCGTTACGTTGCTCATCAGCAAGGAGTCTTGCTATAAGCTTTGTTAATGTTTTTTTCACTTACAGGGGTTGATTCCCAAGCAGTTGCAAAGTAATTGTATTGCCTTGGTAAGGTTGACAATATCTTGGAGATAACCATTTCATCTTCAACTGATTGATGCAAATTTTTTAGTCTGTATGCAAGATTTTCAATTTTAGAAATGTGAAGAGACAAATCACTTCCTTTCTGATGTGTCAGATTGAAAAATTTACACAACAATGCACATTTTTCATCTTCAGTGTCTTTCTGAAAAATACTACATAGCTTTTTGTACATTTCTGTTGATGTTTTGCAACTCATCACATGTAGCAGAATATTTTTATCAACTGTAGTAATTATGTACTTCTGAGCTTTTGCAACTTTCTTTTCCCAACATGTCCTGTCCTCTGAGGTTGCCAATGGGTCAATTATTTTTATTCCATTCACGATCTCCCACAGTCTTTGAGATTTGAAAATGATATTTATTTGAAACATCCACATTTCAAACCTTTCACTGTCTACCAGTTTTTCAATATTTGGAGCTTCTTCGTTGCTTGACGCCATTTTTATTTTTCCGGTTTTAATTTTCAGCTGTCAAAGTCTTTGGTTTGCTTTTACTGATTTTACTCCTTCTCTTAAGTTTTTATTTCTTCTCATGCACTTGCGTGAAGTGGACGCATAACCTGTTTGGGTTTTTACTTTTATTGTTTCTAGAAGAAAAACTACTGCACTTTCTCAGCGAACTTTTATTAGTTCTCAAACACAATGACAACTCCTTAGCAACTACCCTTGTCAATCTTTCAAACCTTTCAGACACCCGAATACACGAAGTTACATCGAGTACATACATTATTCTCAACATCCTCATCACAGCATATTATTATCTTTGCTGACAGCTTTTGCATGTTTTTCATGTATTTTATGCGAGAGCCCCATTGCCATGAAGTATACAATATGCTACAGAACAATCCTCTATTACTTACCCGAACAGAAGATTCAGAATTGTTGGATGTTATTAAAGAATATCTATCTTGAGAATCACCACTCATCGTAGATTCAAGACTATGAAAGGACGTAATCAATCAAAGGGAAGATGGCATGGGAACATCAGGCTTATGAAGAAGGCAAACTGAAAGACAAGTGAAAACGAATGTCAATCAATTCTCATTAGGTATATAATAGATTCCAGATCTTGTCTTACCTTTGATGCCAAAACTTGAAAAAGCTTTTTCAAAATGCAATTCACTGCTATGTCGTCAATCGGAGAAAGGAAATAAAATCTCTAAAATGTTTGTAACGTTCATAATCACAGCTGATCTTAAATCTTAAATCTTACAAACAAAACATTATTAACCCCAAATAGTGATGTAAAATAATTAAGTAACGCTTACAAAATAATCGTTACAAATGAGTAACTAAATGTAACGAGTCCTACTTTTTGAAAAGACTCGTTACGTTTTATTTGAATTCGTTACTTTGAATGCGATACGGTCTTTTTCTGTGTATACTTTTTAATTACTGTTAGTTACTACACTATACATTACTTTAGATACAAACGTTACTGGGATTTAATGTAGCCAGTACTGCCAGCGCCAGCAGCAAGTGACTTGGTTCTTGGATGTAAACTGGGTGGAAATGGAATGATGTGAATATCGTTAGGCTTAGGCAACTTTAGATGCTCTTCTATCAAACGAGTTGCGTACTGCGGAGCTTTAGGTTGGCAATGTTTGTGTACACCTGTACACTTATCATTTGACTTTGAGAGCTACCGGTTGGCGGGTTGTTACTGGTTTGGATGTTGCCGTACAAGCTCGAGCAATAATATAATTATTATTTGTACAAAAATATGGAATCATCCGCGTCCGGTTCAGGAGAATCGCAAACTCAAAAAAGAAGTGTTATTTGGATGCATTTCACCAATATATCGGAAGCTAATGCAAAGTCTAATCTTTGTAAAAATATTTATTCGCATAAAAATGGAAACATTAGCAATTTAAGGAAGCATTTGAAAACTAAACATCCGACTCTTTCATTGGAAGGAGAAAGGGCAAAACGGCGGGTGGAAGACGAAAATTTGCCTAGGTGCAAAAGGAACTTAGTTTCAGGTATGTTTTATTATTATAAGTATTTTGTTGAACACCATTTACAGTGGAGTAACCAGACTGTTAAGTAGGGCAGGGGAGTAACCAGACTGTTAGGGCAGGGGACGCTACTCAACTAAAGTAAAGAGTGAGGAGAGTGGTTGCTCCACGGTCCCCATCTGGTTATGCCACTTGTTAAATACTATTTACAGCGTACAGCCAACGAACCAGACGTCACACAACGACGAGTTTAAAATATAAGTACCTTCTACGTATCAAATATCAAAAAATAGGCAAGGCATTAGACAAAAAATAATAATTGGATCAATCCCAAAGTAATAATTTGATATAATATATAGAATGTAGGTTCTAAACGAAATGTCCAAATAGTAACTAAACTAACGAGTCCAAAGTTCGAAAGTAACGAGTCCTTACAAGTCCTAAAAAGTAACGAAACTTTGCATCACTAACCCCAAAACATAAACGTCACGTATATCACAAAACATATATACTGAAAGAACGCTTTCTGGCCATGTTTTTGAGGTAATAGGACAAATATGACACAGAAAGAATGCCTACCTACTCTGAATAATTCGACGAATTACATATGCCGCCATCTGTTTTAGTGTGACATACGGCTGTGCTGTTGTAGTTGCCTCCTTTCCTCACGACAATTGCCACTAAGGGCCGGTTGCATAAAAATAAAACTGAACCGCCGGTTTTCCAACCGAAAGTTGAAATTCAACTGTCGGTTGAAGACAATTGTGTTTACGATCCTACTTTCAGGTAGCGGTTTGTCAATCGACGGTTCGGTTTTAATTTTTTCAGTTGGCAGTTCTGTCACCTTAATTTGATGACATGACATCTAGACAAATGTTGTACGGCGTACAAAACATAGAACGGCAAAAGAGCTGTCAGCACTGTCAGTGTTGACAGTTCTCTGTGTCGCCTGTGCTTTTGTTTAAATCCATGTTTTCTCATAATTACGTGATAATTACCATTACCTAAAAAGGGTTTATCTCTGCCTAAAAATGACTGCTAAACCAACCAAAAGAGTGATGTTTTCCGAGGCACATTGCCACAGTTTGGTAGATATCGTTCTGAGATACAAAAATATTGTTGAGTGCAAGAGGACAGACGCCGTAACGTGAAGTTTTTAATTTTTATTGAATACAAAAAGTTCAATGTTAGTATCATTTCTCAGGCAGCAGCTTGGGAGAAAATTGCAGAGCTATACAACTCTGCCACAACCGGATCACGAACAGCTGATCAACTCAGGTGTAAATTTGATAATTTGAAAAAAGAAGTACGCAAGTGTGAAGCTCACAGGAGGCAAAATTTGTTGAGGACTGGTGGTGGTGGTGCTGATGAGAGAAATCTGAAGAAAGCCGTGATTATGCTTTACGAGAAAATTAAAAGTATTATTGGCTTATCAGTGCATGGATTGCAGCCATCTGTGGGTGACAGCGATGATGCTTCATTTGAAAATAAAGAAGGTACTATGATGGACATTGTGTAATATTACAGTGAACACCCACAGTTATGTATCTAAACTTAAAAATACTTTAATTATATATTTTTTTCAGAAGGGGCATCTGTTTGTATGGAGACAAATAAAAATACAGAAAATCTACATGAAGTGGATGTTGATCTTGTATCAATGTCTATAGTGTTAAATGAAGGTGATAGTTTTGACAAAATTTAAAACAAATGCATTTGTACAATTTTCACAATTTCAGATTCTAAAAGCAACACAGAAGCTTTAGAACAGACTTGTGAGTTACAAACACCGTCTGTACCAGTACCACAGCAATCCCCTCTGGCAGTTAAAGTGATACATGCTAGGTGCTTACTATATACTCAGTGCAATGTAGTGTATATATGTATTTATTTTAGATTGGTCTGATTACACACCAAGACACTTACAATCAAGGAAACACAGAGTCCTTCAAGGAAAAAGGATTGAAGAACAGTCATCGAAAGAGGGCCTAACATCTCTAAAAAGGAAGTTGTTAGACGAAGAAGCTGCAAGAAACAAAGAACACTATGAACAAAAAATGAAAAATGAGCAGGAACTACATGAGTTGAAAGCTAAAAACTTCATTAGAAAAAGATAGAAGTACCTACTAAAGCTAAACTTTGAAGAAATCATTACACCGTTGCAAATACATTTATAAATATATTTCAATAAATTATCATACAAAATAGTTTATTGATTTTCTTCTAATAGATTCATAAAGTATATAAGAAATTCTTCTCTAAAGTTATGTTCCAACCTATGAACATCATTTCCATTCACATTTTCTTCTTCCTCCCATTCTCTATTCTGATCATCATCTTGGAGAGGTTCTGGCTCATTCATATTAACTGCTATATTATGAAGAACTGCACATGCTACAATAAGAGTCTGTGCTGTCTCCAGAGATAATCATACCAAGGGAGAGAACAGGAAATCTTTTTAAAACACCAAATAATCTTTCAACTGGATTTCGACTCCTAATTTGGGATTCATTAAATACTTGTTCCACTTCAGTTGTTGGATTAACAATAGGTGTTATTAAGTATTTTTTTAATGCATATCCTGAATCTCCCAGCATTACAGAGTTCCCAAATCTATTATTTTCAAACTGTGCCTTTATTGAGCTATTGTTCAGTATTGTTTGATCATGCGTTGAACCAGGCCATCGGGCAACAATATTTCTTATCAATAAATTTGGATCAGCTACTACTTGTACATTTATAGAAAAATATCCTTTTCTATTTCTAAAATACTCGGCATTAGCTCCACCTAAAAGTTAGTATTACATGTTTTGATATTAACTCTTTCCAATTTGCCTAAATTAAGAAAATGATTAACAACAAAGTCAAAGATTAAGTACCTGGGGAAATTATTTTCACATGAGTGCAATCGATGGCTCCTATTACGCGAGGAAACTTTGCAATAGTATAAAATTTCGTTTTTACTTCATCAATTTCTTCTTGTGTGTTCGGCATATGGATGTATTCTGCTGCTAAAGATGCAAATATACCAATAACACGTTTTACAATTCTACATGCAGTAGTCTTATGGATTCCAGTGAAATCTCCAACAGTTTGCAACATACATCCTGTAGCACAAAAGCGAAGCACAAGCAGAATTTGCTGCATTGCTGTTACTGCATAGTTCCTAGGATAAACATTATATTGAGATATTTTTCTTATTTATAATTTCATTTTTGTATAAATAATGTGATTTACTAAATATATTTACCTTTCAGTTTTCGGTGTTAAAACATGTAATCTCTGTTCTAGCATTGTTACTGTTTCCTTACTAAGGCGAAATCTTACTCGAAATTCTTCGTCATTCCAACGTGTAAAGTGATCTACTCGTCTTCTAAAATTTCGAGGGGCTCTTGGACTTTTTACTCGATTCTCATTTTCAGAATCTGAAGAATCCTCACTGCTAGTTTGCCAAAGTAATCTGCCGTGTATATTTTCAGGCGAAGATGACATTTTATTTTAAATCGTCGTTTTATTGATAGTTGAAAATGCTTATAATAATCCAAGTTGGTAAAATATAAGCAGACGAAGTACACTGTTACGACAAATGTAAACAATAAATTTAGGTTATGATATGCTGTTAACGTCCGGTTGACATTTCAACCGGTAGATCGACCTAGAACGCAAATGCGTTGAACCGGCGCGGCGGTTGAATCGTCGGTTCTGGTTTATAATACAGAAATTTCAGTTTGACCGCCGGTCAACTAGAGATTATAAAACCGGCCCTAATTGTCATTTTTATTTAATTGTTTTGAATGGTGTTCCTGATAACAAAAATCAATTTTGCATTAGGACAAACAATTCAAACACCTCACGTGCATTTGTGATTGGATTCGTTCAAGTGTGACAAATAATAAAACAATATAATTGGGAAAATAACTTTATTCTGGTAGAAAACGTAATGTGGCGCATTTGCAATATAGTGGAATGAAGAATCAAAAACGCCGATGGGAGGTTTCTGAATAATAATTCCAATATACGACCATAAGGGAACTACCAAAAAAACATGATACTACACTCAACAAATATTCAATACCTTACAAAAATATTGTAAAATCTGTATGTAAAAGGTACAAGATTTCGTTAACCAAACATAGCTGTCTAGTAACGTGCTCTGTGTTTGGGTTTTTTGGTGACTAGTGCGATTCATGGAATATATGTAGTGATCATACTAATTTAAAAAAAAAAAAATTAAATTTATATCGTTTTATAGTAGTTGCTATATCATAGTATTGTTTATTCTCATATAGTAGACTTGTGTTACAGATTTTCATATCTTCTGGATTCTGTAACCTATGTATCGTTTTAATTTATCACTATAGTAAGCAGCAGGTGCTGTCTTTGGAATTCACATTCTGTTGCACCCCAAACATGAGTAAATAAATAAATAAATAAATAACATTATAATTCTAAATAAACATTAATTTGCAAGATTTAGCCAGCATTTATTTCACATGAGAATATGGTACAGGCCATATACAGGGTGACTTCGAAGTTGAGTCATTTATTTTAACAGTGAGTAGATCTGATCAAAAGAAATTTTTTTTCCTTTACCATTTTTCTGGTAAAATTAAAGTAACAAAGTTATAGCCCTTTGGAAGTTTGAGTACCGCCCTGTCTTAATAATAATATCATGTACTCGTGTTTGGCAACAACGGATATAATCCACCTTATCGGTTCATCGCATCGGAAACAAAAAAGCGAAAGAATTTGGAACGATGTTTTTATTTCATTCAGTTCAGTTATACATACAGTCAGTGTCAGTCGCGTGTGAATAGTGTCTGTTGCGTGGCTCAAACGAAATAAAAAATGGAACATGTTTATACGGATCGGTTTCCCAATCGAGTGCAACCAACCCCTCGTGCCTTTGTTAATGTAGTACAACGGGCTCGTGAATCAGGTGACTTAAGACCTCATAGGGCACCTCACGATCAAATACAGGTCCGCACTGAAATACTTGTCGGGAGGATACTTTATAAATCAAGGTAAAATTTTTTTTTTATTTTTACACACATATTTTGGTTTATCTTCCTTCTACAATCATTATCTGAAAATTAATGACTCAACTTCAAAGTCACCCTGTATAGTAATTTAATAACTCGACATCGAATTCTAAGAAATAAAATAAAACACAATTCTATCACAATCTGGTAAAAATGTTGTCCTGGTCATGTATGTCACAGCTAGGTTTGTGATGGTTCATCCATGGTGGTACATTAAATAATTAAAAAACCAACAGCAAATGATTTACCTGGTGGTATTCAACTTTTCCATTTTCCTTGAATGGCCATCAGCCATTTCAAACTGTCTTTTCAAAGAATGTTAATCTTTAATATGCTTAAAGATTGTCAGTCTGATGCATTTGTTAATGATATTTTTGAGGACATCATGAACATTGCAAGACTGAAAATGTTCAAGCAGTTTTGTCAGACCTGTTTTGAAGGAGGCTTGAACATTAGGCAAATGGGCAAACTTATCCAAAAAACTATTCAGAGCAACCCGCGGTCGTCTTCATCAAGGAGCAATTGTTCGCTCTTCAAAAGGCGATATTGGTAGCTGTGTCTTGCATTTGAGACAGGAACACACAGGTGAGGTTCCAGGACTGTACCCACAGACCTGGATGGCTACAAATCACCTGTGTGGACAAAGAAAGCCTGAACTGGCTTGAAGCTGCGGCAAAGCACCTCCAGCCTTGGGAAGGCGTCAAGGGGTCAATCTTCCTAAACCCCATACATGCGTAGCATATCTTCCGGACGAAATTCCAGAGGAGTGACTCTCCTGGGGAGATGTGCTGCTTATACTGGGGAATATGAACCGGACCCTGGATACTCGTGATTGGGTTGTTCTTCATCAGGAGAATTCAGGCAAGGGACAAACGTGGACCTTTGGTATAGGTGATGTGCCGCTGGTGGCGCGGAGGCGTCTGGATTTCAGACCGTACTTTGGGTTCCGCCAGGTTCGATTTCGTCTGAGGCCTAGGGCTCAGGGAACAGCATCCGGGACACAGGGGACTAATCCCGAATAGCTCCCGCCGCCGGTGATGCGTCGACGGTGACAGTAGGAGGGACAGCCACCCCTCCTGCTGCAACTGGTAGCGACTCTACCAAAGGGAAGACTATTCCCGGTAAGACGCTTGCAAAAAAGGCAAAAAAACCCAAGAAGGGGAAGTCCTGGGGCACACAAAAGCTCCAAAGGCCAACCTAAACCGCCACGGGGTCCTGGTGGGGTCAGAGATCCACCAGGGGGTTGCAGCTCTGCAGCATAATGGCTCAATCACTGAGCCTGCTGCAGGTTAATCTGCAACATGCCAAGGCCGCCACAAACGTCCTTGGCGCCATATTCCAAAGGGATGGAATTAATATCGCCCTTATCCCGGAACCATGGAACTCGATCATCGGTCGAGTATCCGGACTTGGAGGAACATCTGGCAAGGTAATAGCATCACCATCGGTACCCAATCCTAGGGCATGTATCCTTGCCAGGAAAACGCTAACATACTTTATTCTCACAGATTTCTGCGACAGGGACATAGTGTCTATCCATCTGACCCTACCAGGGGAAGTAGAGGTTGTAACTATTGTCTATTTTCCCGGGGATGCAGAAGAATCACCTCCTCCCCAAGTGGTGCAGAAGTTAATCGACCATTGCAGGAGGAAGAACTTGCACCTGGATACGACACCAACGCGCATCACAGGGCCTGGTCTAGCACAGATGTTAACCAACGAGGTGAGTCTCTGTTTAACTGTTAAATTGGGGAGAGACTAGTGGTTAACAATAAAGGCGTTGAGCCTACCTTTATTACTAGAAGTAGGAAAAAGGTACTTGACTTGACAATTAGCACTAATTGTTTGAGCAGCAAGATCAAAGATTGGTGGGTAACGTCGGAACCCTCGTGTTCTGATCACCGACATATTCGCTTTGAGATTGCAACGGGTGTAAGACATGGTATGCTACAGGAATGTGACGAATACGGACTGGGATCGATATAAAACGTCCCTGAAGGAAAACCTGCGGTAGGACCATAACAATTAAATATCAACTGGACGCAGGCCATAAGTTCAGCCTATCAGGAGAACTGTCTACTCAAGGCGAAAAAAGACAACCAAAGTACTTCTTGGTGGAATAACAGTCTTAATAAGAAAAGGATAGAGGTTCGGAAACTCTCCAA